ATGGGATGAGAAGTCTACTTGTGTTGGTTAGTCTATGATATTAGTAAACTTATTTTTGGATTTTAGTAAATGATCTGCAAAATTTGATTTCATTGATGTTTTGTTCTTCGATTTATATGCCTGTATATGTTCGTTGAATCTAACTTTAAAATTTCGATAGGTTTGTCCAATGTAGTAGTTGTCACAGTGTTAAAATTGAATAATCCAATATATGAAACAATAGCAAAATTGAGAAAATATTAATGAAAATAAATAAAACACATCATATATAGCATATAAATTAATCAATGAAGACAAAATTATGTTACAAGTTAGAAAAGTTTTATAATATCATATGTTATTTATTTGTTTACATATCTTATTTTGATTTTTATTTACTTTGAAAATGACCTTAGAGCCGAAACTATAGTCAGTAAATATTTTAATAAATAGTTTTACTTGGGTACTAAGTTTATTAATGTTTAATCTTTATTTATATATAGTAGCCCTATTTTTCTATTTTTCATATATCTATATTATATATTATAATCTAGTATGTTGACTAGTTCGTTCATTCTTTGTCAAAATATTTCATATTATAAAAAGATTTGTAAAATGTATATTAGGCTTACAAAAACATACCTTAGCCTTGTGAACAGCTTCAGAGAATGATATATCAGGGCTCAGAGTGCTGAGATCTCCTGACTTGGTGAATAAATCTCCAACCCCCAGTGATTCTAAAATCTGTAAAAGGTAAAATAAGAATAACTGTACCATATGGATAAAGGACAGATTTTGTAATTGAGCTATTTTTTTAAAGAAATTCTTTGTTTGTCTTTAAAATTAAACTATCGTATCGTAAAGTCTCTGGAATCATGATTTACTTCAAATATATTTAAGTTAAAATCAATTACCTACATACAACTGGAATCTGGTGAGAATAACCTCAGTGGCGGATCTAGAACAGTCACAAGGGGGGGGCAAACCAGGGAGTCTGGGGGGTTCGGGGGTACCCCCCCCCTCCCCGAAAAATTGGTGTAAACTAAGTCTCTAAAATGGCAGTTTTATACCATTTCATTGTCCAAAGTTAGTGTGACAAATTATTTTACGCAATGTGTATGCACTACTGTATTACATGCGGTAAAAAATATATGTATATGTATGCCCGAGGGGGGGGCGGTCGCCCCCTTCGCCCCCCCTCTGGATCCGCCACTGAATAACCTAGAGCAAGACAAGATTGGTAATGGTACACAAACCAGAGTGCTCTAAAATAGATTAACGAAGATATTAGAAAAAAATAAGAGCATTTTTGATTACAATTATATGTTAAGAAAACAGAAAAGCAACAGATCTTATGCAATTTTAATTTCACAAATACATAAACCTTTGTGGGTGTCAGTGATTGTTTCCCGAAGAGGGACAAATTGTATACTAAAGCTACCTATACTGGGTTAATTCTTTCCCAACTAAAAATATCATGAATCTTGTGTTTCAATTATTAGCAATAGGAAACGTCTTCATTAACTTACTGTTATTTGACAGATAACTCAAAATAAAAAAATTATAGTGATGCATTTATTTCAGGTGGTCTATTTTTTAAACACCCCTTCATGGAAAATGTCATCTGATTACTCATTTCTGTGGACTAAACTGTCCCATTCAAGTTTTGTTTTTCAACTCGAAAAGTTGCCAAATTTATCCAATTTTTTCCAAATTGTTTTTAATTTTGAAAAAAAAATTCAAGAATCACAGCACTCTTCCATATGATAAGAACCTTTGCTAACAAATTCTACTCACTGGAGTCAAATCTAACTCCGACCCTACAGTAAACTTGGGAATGGTGACAGTTCTCTTGGGTCCAAGAGATTCCTTGGCACCCATAGTTTGGATGAGAGACAACAATGCTTTGCCGTCCAACTTCTTTATCAAGTCTTGAACAGCTGATGGAGAAGGTTTGAGTGGGAGAAGCACGAACATGCTAATGTCATCTCCAACATATGGTAGCTCCACAGCCTCAACTCCTAGCTTCTTGTCTACCTCTAGAAAATATATCATATACATATAAAATATGTATCAGATACATATAATAAATGTATTAGATATTATGGATAGTTAGTTGTAAAATCAGATTTTTTATGTGTAACAGCACACAGTAGAATAAATATTTTAAATTAGGTATTTTTATAAATTCATATATAGCCCCTGAACTCCTTTTTGAAGAAAATAGTCCAAAATTCCCACCAACAGGTGCTTACTAGTTTTGTTGCAAGCGCAAAATTTCCAAGTGTGCAATACAACAAAACATCATAATAAATAATTAGGCTACATAAAATGTTTTGTTGTGTTGCACACTTTGACAATCATCCCTTGCACAAAGTCAGTCAGCGCCTCCTGTTGATTTTTGACTACAAACACAGGTAAAACAGCCTAGAGTCTGTATACTTGTTTATATAGTTGCAAAACCTGTAAAACAACTCAAATCAAATCAGATTTATTTCCACAATAAGATCACAAATAAAAATTTTTCTAAAAATTAAATACAAAGATCTAGAAGCATTACACAAATTGTTTATGAAAAATTGAGGTAAAGTTAAATTTAAAAAGTTATTAATTGTATAAACATAAGTGCTAATTGAAATATATTTGCTTCGGCTAATAATAATTAATTAATTGGAAATGAGTCTACATAGACCTCAGTGCTAGAAACAAGAAAACATAAGTAAATAATAGTACCCCAAAATATTTTCTTGTTTTCAAATTAGCAGAGGATTCAGGGAAGGTGTAACATGCTAAAAGAGACATACCAGAAACAAAAGAACCCTGGGCCATTTCGAGCCGCGCAGGTTTGAAGGGTACCTACCGGCGCCAACCACGTGATCTTTTCATTTCTGCGCAGGTTGTTTTGTTCTTGGGACGTCTAGGATCATGAATCATGATATTCCTTATAAAATAGGTGGAGAAGTGAGATAGATTTTTTTAGTTGAAGTCAAAGTTTGTATGTATGTATAGGTAGAAAGCAATACATTTTACAGGCTAACTTTTTTGTCTGCTTTGAATACATAGACTTACTGGATTTAAATTTTCCGTCCTGAGTCATCAATATAGTTTTTACTTCCGAACCATTGCTGAGATGAAAATTTCCTTCATAACTATTATTTTCATCAAACGGACTCTTCCATTTCCCTTTGAAGTAAGCGGCATTCACCTGAATTATCAAATTGAGAACTGTAGATTTTTACTCTGTTGTGGCAATGAATGTTAAATATTCACTAACAAATGCAACAAAAATGGGATATTGCAAGTATTTGACTGGCTGGGTGGATGGATGAGTGGCTATAGTGCTCGCCTAGCAGCACAGAATATAGTATTCTATGCTAGCAGTCAAAAGGTTGCTGGATTGATCCTAAGAAATGTCAGTAGCTTTTTGATGGTTCAAAACTGGACCCAGCTGTGCCTTGATGATTGTTGGGCTTTAAATAAAATTATCCTGGCTAATGAAACAGGTCAGCAACAAAGCTACAAAGATCACACTCACCCCATTCTACACTCATCCTTCACTCATATTTGGGTAAAAATAAACGCATCTTCAGCTAGGTGGCATCCCCATCTCAATTCATATTATATGAAATAATGAAGTTTTAGATAAAAGTATTACCTACAGTATTAAATTAAAAGATAAAATAAAAATCATGAAACACTGCAGACAAGCCTATTATAAGGCTATATGGAGCTTAGTGTTCAAATTAAATGGATATGTGATTTGTATTGCCTTTATATAGTGAATAGATGAATAAATATGACGAGTTTACCTATGTAGGTTCAACTAAAATAAACTGTATAGGCCTATACATGACTCGGTAGAAGTTGGCAGAGGAGAGGATTTCTAGGTGACTAGCACCTCAAAAAGGCAATTTTATCATTTTTAACTTTTCCTCTTGTCTATGTAACCAAAAGTTGTTTTACAAGAAATCGGATACCTATTTATGTTTATAACATCGGTTATGCAATCATAATTAAATTAGAATAACCCCTATAGGATTCAAAGGGTTGAATTTTTTCTTACCAAAACCAACTGGGTGTCCTTCGTCACTGCGTCTTCGGATAGAAAGTCTTTCATAACATTTCTGGTTTGCGCAGCTACCCATTGGTTGATCTTCTTGACCACTCCTTTAGAATTCTCTTGGAAATTAGCTGGGTACAATTCCTCAGCAAACAGTACCTGGCAAACAATAATAACCCTGTAAATTATTATAATTAGTTTAACTTCTGGTAACAATAGACTAAAAATTTACCTATTGTGCTGAGGTTACAAAGATTAATAAAGAGGTAAGGATAAGTTAGATTATTATTTTCAGTTTCTTCATCTTCAGCACAAAAATGTGAAATAAAAAATATGTAAGAGAGTATGTACCCACCAGGCCCGTACTCAGACCAGTTTTTCCTGACATTTTTACGGTAGCCGGGCCAGGCCCAGGCCCCGCCAAACACATACTCCAATGGGAGGGGGGCCCGGCCTAATATCTTTACCTGGGCCTGCTAAAGCTGGGTGCTAAAGCGTGCAGCCCTGTACCCATCGTCAAACCTTCTCCTCTTGATTTTGATAACTTTTAAAGAAATGTCATACACCTGCTTGGACCATTGCACAGAGAAAAACTAACGGGTGTTAATCAACACAATGTTAAAGATGAAAATAAAAATCAAATTTTCTCCCTAAAAGACTCAGAGCTGCTATCCCATAAAAACTCGGAAACCATTTTAAAACTATTCAGGGCTGTGCGAATAGTTCGAGAACGAATCTACTACTTCTAACTCAGAAATCATCAGAAATCAGAAAATCTTTATTGTTTCATATTTTTGTACAAGCTTTTACACAGAGTACTTAAGAATAACTTAGATTAACTATTTAAGATTTAACTCACACACTTATTTATAACTATGAAACAATTCATCCCTAGGTCAAAGACCTGTTTGGGATGTTCTATTACGAAAAAACACATATAAAAACAGCTCAAAAGATGGGATCACCGACATCAATAAATGTTACACTCTAAAGCAACTCTAAAAAAAAATAACATTACTAAGCTTCATTGTTAAAATAGGACTAAATATCTTAGACCTGATAATATGAAAACACTGTACAAATAACAAGGGAGAGTAACTAGATGCATTTAGGATATAAAAACTATGTGGTTTAGAAGTAATATGTTGATCATTAAGATATAGAAATAAAATAATATGATAAATTGGGAAATGGATACACGTCATAGATAAACTTGGCAACAATTTCGATAATATGCATTAGAATCGTTGGAGGATAGAAACATTTTTGTGAGATAACAAAAACGTCTTTTGTTGAAACACGTTTTTATATCAATTGGCAAGTAATTAAAGAAAGTTGGAGCAAGATAAAGATAAAAGTTTTTAAAAGCTGTTGAATTTGGTTTAGGGACTGACACATTGAAACATCTTCGAAGGGTCAACGCTCGAGATCCTATATTGTGCCGGTCTTCCCCACTTTTATCAAAGAAAGCTTTTAAAACTTTAAAAATGTACAAATTTTTAAATGTAAGAATTTGTAAATCTTTAAACAATTGTTCAGAGTGTTCGAATTTTGTTTTGTTTGATATTATGCGGACAAAATACTTCTGTATGGTTATTATTGGTTTAAGGTTTGAGTAATATGCTCCTCCCCACACCTCAATCCCATACTCGATTTTCGAACTTATCAGAGCATAATATATAGATTTCAAAACATTTTTCCTACAGATTGGCCTCAACATATAAAATATCCGGATGTATTTCAATAATTTTTGTCTAACTGCCTCAATATGTATTTTCCAAGATATCTTCGAGTCAACATTTAAGCCTAGATATTTAATTGAATTTACCTGTTCAATGTCCGCACATTGGCACTGTATATCCATTTTACAATTTAACGAATGATATTTTAATGGCTCAGCAAAGCTAAGGTTACGAGACAAATTGAATATTATGTACTTTGTTTTAGGACTCATGACCATAAAGTGTTTTGTGAACCACACTCTTAGCATCTTTATATCAGCTTGCATTTCTAGTCTAAGCTGCTCTAGATTTGAACTGCTGTAAAACAGTGCAGTATCGTCAGCAAACGCAACTAGTCTGCCATTGAATACACCTTCACAAAGATTATTTACATAAATAAGAAATAATGGTCCAGATAATACCGAACCCTGTGGAATTCCGTGCTTAATAATGCCTATTTCACTAACAGATTCACCTACTCTAGTTACATGGCTTCTTTCTGATAAATATGAACTGAACCACTTGAGAGGGATCCCTCTAATACCTGCTTCGTACATTCGAGACAGTAAAATAGAGTGATCTACTGTGTCGAATGCCTTCATTACATCGACGAATATACCTGCACAGCATTTACCTTGATTTATTCCATTGTAAACCTGAGACATAAAATCTAACAAAGCATTACTTGTGTTCATTTTACTTCTAAACCCGTACTGGTTTTTACTAAAGAAATTAATTTTATTCAGGAAGTTAATCAAACGCTCCTTTACAATCTTTTCTATTATTTTTGATAAGATAGAGAGTAAGGCTATAGGACGGTAGTTAGTGGGATTAGTTTTATCGCCTTTTTTGTACAATGGCTTTAAAACAGCTCTTTTAAGAATATTGGGAAATACACCCGTAGACATACTAAGATTTATTAAATGGACCAATACATTATCTATGCTGTCTATGATGTTTTTAATGATAACAGGTGTTAACTCATCAAAACCTGGGGCTTTTCTATCTTCTAATGCACTAACTATACTTTTAATTTCAGCTGTATTTGTAGGAAAGAAAAATATGGATTTGATTGAATAGGTTCGTGTTGGAAACGTGGTGTCGAACGCACTATTTGAAGTTTTAATTCCCTCAATATCTGAGACTATGTCATCTCTAAGCTTATCTGCAATTGTAAGGAAGAAATCATTGAACATATTTGCAACTTCGGTTTGATCTTGAACCAAAACGTCATTTTCATGGGTAAGTATTATTTTCTCATTCGAATTCTTTTCACAACCGATTAACTCGTTTATTGCATTCCACTGTTTTTTCGTATTATTTTTATTTAACTCGAATTTTTGTCTGTAATACACTTCCTTAGTAGTTCTAATTTTATTTATTAACCTGTTTTTGAACTCTTTATAAGATTGTTGAAGTATTTGATTGTTAGGCTGTTTAGCTGATTTTTTAAATAGCTTATTTTTCTCTTTAACCATACTCGCTAAAGTGTTGTTCATCCAAGGTTTAAGTTTTTGTGTAGAGCTTTTAATTTTACAGATTTTTGATTCTGCTACAGCATTATTTAGGATGCCGACGAGCATTTCAAAACCTAAGCATGTATCGTTTGTTAAATATATTTGGGACATGTCAACGCTTTTTATAATCGTTTTTAGTTTAACAAAATCTATTTTGGAAAAGATTGATTTTTTAGGAATGGATTTGGTGTTACATATTAAAACAAGATTTACAGCAGTCATTCTATGGTCAGTAATTTCACTATCTATTACCCAGCTTTTATAATCTATCTTATGGTTAGCGCTACGTCTAAATAATATGTGATCTATACAAGTGTTTGTATCTTTTGTTACACGTGTAGGTTTTTCAATTAGTGAAAATAACCCATGCCTTGACATTTTCATTAAATAATTGTCTACATGTGGGGATTTTTTTATCAAGTCAATGTTGATATCACCAATAATCAAAAGATTGGGACTATCAATGGCATTTAATAATCCATCGAATTCATCGATAAAAATATCTACATTGTACTCATGTAATCTATAAATGCCAACGATGGATAGGAATACTGGTTTATCTGTGCTTATATCGATTTTTAAACATAGGACATCCGCTGTCCGCATTCCAACTGAATCAATACAATGACCAGAAATGCGGTCTGATAAGTAAATGATCACGCCACCAGCTCTATAGTTATTATTACAATTTGCGTACATTACATAACTGGATAAACTATATTTAGATATTTCGTGGTCTTCAATCCATACTTCAGTCAATACGACAATGTCAGGTTTTTTTGTTAAATTCTGGAATTTAACACAAAATAAATCGAAATTCTTTCTTACACTCCTTATATTTTGTTGGACTATAATAAGACCGGCACTACAAGTAGTAAAACTGTCATCTTCAAGAACCGTTGTCATTATAAGTTAAATAAAGACAATTTAAAAAATAAGCTAACATAAAAATTTACAAATCTAATTATATTTACAGAGACAACCATTTTTAAATGTTCGATACCTTAATCATCGGGATGACTAGAGCACATCTACTCAGCACCATCTGCGGAAGTCGTGGTGTCCGTGGTACTTGTCATGTCGTGTTGTGTGGATGGTGGCAAAGTACTTGTCGTGTCCTGTGGTGCCAGCTGTGGTGCGGATGGCGACGTACTTGTCGTGTCGTGGTCGTGTGGTGGTGGAGTGTCTGGGTTGCGTGGTCCAGTCGGGGACGCTGTTGCTGACGGGATGTTGCTGACGCTGGCGATGCGTACACTGCGTAGTTCTTCAATCTGCTCCTTTGACGTTATTACTTCTACCCTCGAATCCTCTTCAACTCGCAGAAGGATTTTTCCGTTTCGTACCCATACATACTGTACAAGTCCATCCTTCTTCAGTTGTCGTGCTGCGTTTAGGACCTGTCTCTTGGCCACGCTTAGACTCTCGTTCACATAGACTACCTCGGCTGGACCGGTCAAAAATCCAATGTCTTTCGTATTTAAGTTACGTTTAGCACGTCGTTTGGTCAACAGGTTTTCCTTTATCACTCGTCTGGTAAACTTGACCATGATCCCCCGAGATCTGTCACTGCCGCTGGCATTTTGTTTTGGTCCTAAGCGATGACATGCATCGATATCATTATCATTTATCTCTACACCCAGGCTACTACCGATCTTTTTCACTACCTCAATGACTTGTTCGCCATTCTGCTCAGGAATACCATTTACCTCTATACAATTGGATCTTGAGTATTGTTCCAGCTCTACAATGCGACTTTCTAAATCTTTTACTCTCTTTGTTAAGGCTAAGTTAGCTTGATTGATAGTTTCAAAGCGTTTTTCATAGTTTGTTATTACTTCTGATTGTTTATCAATTTTCTTTGAGAGTTCATTTATGTCATGATGACATCTTTCAACAGAGTTACCAAGATCAGTTTCTAAATTACGAATTTGCGCTTTGGATTCTTCACGCATTTCTTGAAGGAGATCAAATACAGCTTTTATACTCACATCTTCTTTCTCGAGCTGAGACTTCACCTGCATACTTTTCCTCCTCGTCACGGAACATGGGTCACATCGCCAAGCCTCGTTGTTGTCGTTTAGGTAGTCCAAATCTTCTTTAGACATTTTCACACAGGACGCATGATAAAGCGATGCACAGTCACAGCACTGAATTTTCAGGTGGCGAGATGTAATTGATTTCCGACATAATTTACATTTATCCGCCATTTCGTATATATTTGTTTTAAGATTGTTTAAACCGAGAAAAAAATAAAATTTTGAAACTAATAGGAAGCCTGCACACGATCGTCGAAATGCGATTTCAGAGTTCACTATCTTATCTCCGCGGAGGTCGGTGAAAGCACGTCAAGTTCCCTTCGAGCTCTGTCCCATTACTGATAACTGGATTCGGATTTGGAATCGATATTCGAATATACCGGAAACAGATCTGGGTTCGGATTCGATATTCGAATTTCCTGGAAATAGATCCGAGTTGGGATTCGATATTCGAATTCAAGATTCAAAGTCTTTTTTTATTTGGCCCATTTTAAGATTTTTTTTCTTCTGGCACTTTTGAGGCAATTCCCTAAGTTATTTCAGCCCAGTAAACGTGGTCTTAAATGTGAAAATTGGTAAATACCGCTGACTTTCCTCGGATTCGACTCTAAACTGGTATAAATATTCGGATTCCATAACAGCTTTAAATTTGAGATTCGGATTCGATCCGAGTTCGATAACGGCTGTAAATTTGAGATTCGGATTCGACCCAGATTCGTCTCGGGATTAATTAAAATATTCGGATTCGAACCGGATTCGATAAAAGCTGTACAGCTATGATTCGGATTCGGCTTTGAACCAAAATTTCTGGATTCGCACAGCCCTGAAATTATTACAGTATTCTGTTTAAAAAAAATATAGACCATCAAAATAGTTGCCAACTTATGTTTTTTTTTTCGCATCTCAAGCGTGATAGTGTTTTAAGTAGACAGTTAGTGGATACAAGATTTTTTTTGTTATAAGTATGGACGCAGGATACGTTTATACATACTCCAATGTTATTTGCATAAAATCATAAAAATCATACAGTAAACTCCCTCTTATCTGGATTCCTTGGGACGGAGTCCAGTCCGGATAACGGCTTTTACGGTTAAGCCGACGTCCCCAAAATCTTGTTAAAACAGACCATTTAAATACATACTCTATACAGTATTTGACTTAAAATTAGGAGAGCATTGTATTTAGACACGTAATCACTTGTCTCAAATCTTTCCCACGAGAACAGTCGTTTCAGTACCGCGTACTTCCTGCCAATCTAGTCCGGTTAAACCGATGTGCTGATAAAAATTATCCGGATAAAGAGATGTAATTTCTACCGAGTGTAGTCCGGTCAAACCGATGTCCGGATAAAAGGGAGTTTACTGTAGTCCTACTTTGAATTCTACTCAGAGTTCTACTTTTATAACCAGTCTTGAAAACATTTTGGTTTAATTTTGACACTCACCTTCATACAGTATTGTACTTTTAAATCTTTGGCAAAATAAAACCGATTCGCACTGCTCAGTTGGTAACTTCGGCTTTTAGCAGTTCGAAGTTTCTGGTAGAAGTTCTCCATGTTGTAAGCCCCAAGAATGTCAAGTTTATCCTAAAATGAAATAAGATTGTTAACAAACCCTAGATATTTTCCCTCTTACAGTATACAAAAATGTAAACTTTCTTCTTTCCCTGTTATGCATAAGAGCTTTTGGGTCATATGTAGTGAACGATACTTTTTATAATCATACAAAAACCAGTAGTTGATCTAGAACAGTCACAAGAAGGGGGCAAACCGAGGGGTCTGGGGGGTTCAGGGGTACGCCCCGAAAAATTTGTGTAAACTAAGTCTCCAAAATGGAAGTTTTATACAATTTCTTTGTCCAAAGTTAGTGTGACAAATTATTTTATGCAATGTGTTTGCCTATATTACATGTAGTAAAAAATATATATATGTATGCTCGATGGGAGGGGGGCACGGTCTGGTCGCCCCCTTCGCCCCCCCCATCAGGATCTGCCTCTGACAAAAACTAGGTAGTTTAATTGTGTTTTAATAATATCTTAAATTGTTAATTATTAAAATATAGTTTAAAGTACAAAAAATACATATGAGAGACTTGTATGGATAATAAGTTGAAAAACTATTTGGGAGCTTTGGAGAATGAGCTGATTGTTTTATCACTAATAAGTAAAAGGCTTGGCGAATCAATTGATTTTTTACATTTTTTATCCTAGCCTCAAAAATTTTATAAAACAATAATTTTATAAAATTTTGTTTAAATTTTCTAACACTTTAGTTTACCAAAACCTAGCACTACTTTTTAAAGTATCCCATTAGTGCTTTGTTAGTCTTAAAACATACATATTGTTTAAGGCCCCCTTACAAAACTGTTAAACCGACATCCCCAAAATCTTGTTAAAACAAACCATTTAAATACATACTCTATACAGTATTTGACTTAAACCTCCATTAATTTGGAGAGGAATTAGGAGAGCATTGTGTTTAGACACGTAATCACTTGTCTCAAATCCAAATTTATAATTGACTGGGACGGGTGGCGTCGTCCTGTAATCCAGCTACTAGGAGGTCACGAATTGTGGATAATTATAGGGATGCACTGTGGATGCGATGCTACCTGGTGTGGATTAACGTCCGCACTAGTGAGTACTACGACTATCCGCAGTACTATCCTAAATAATTAGACCAATTCGTTAATTACGAGGAAAAAATGTGGTTCGGATTCCACAATAAACTGTAGGTCCCTTAGTTGCCATTAGCTGTATGGGCTATTAATTAACAGCTGTGTCTAAGGAACATGTCGGCCTTAGTCACTAACAAGACTACAAGATCGCGCCACTCATCCTACACTCATCCTTCACTCATATTTGGGTTAAAATACGCACATAATGGCGTCCCCATCTTAAACTAGGGTTGCTTTCAGAGAGGTGAAAGCCAGTTGAGCGGAACAAACGTGATTTGATATTTGTATAAGTAACTAAATGTAAAAAGGTCAATAGATTTATTTACTAATGCTGGTTTTAAAGATTAAAATTATAATAATTCAAGTTTACCTCTTAGAGAAGTGCATTATGGTAGTTTTGACCAGGAAAATATTACAGTAGTTGGAAACTGATATTAACATCCAAAAAGGGCATTTAAGTATAAAAAAGAGAAAGGAAATTTAACATTCAAATTCAACTGTAGCCTACAACAAAAACATTGGACTTCATTTTTCACCCTTACAATTGGTTAAAGTATTTAAGTATAAAAAACAGTACCTATTAAAAAACGAGTATTGTATAACAACAGGAGAGGAAATGTGACATTTAAATTCAACTGTGCAGCATAAAAATCGGTTAAACTCAGCTTTCTTTGCTGGAAATAATTTATGATTGTTAATACCAAGTATTCTTGATGGAGGATATGATTGCAATGTACCTGGAATGTAGGTCTTCTGCCATTATTAGGACGATTTAGCGACGGCATTTTAATACTGGCCTTAATAATACCATTGGCCATTGAATACAGTATATTTTGATGAACTACAAATTCAACATGGGGATGGAATGTCTAGTTGTATTGATAGTCAAAGATAAAACATAGGCCTACGAAAAATGTAGGGCTATTTTAATGTAAGACTCAAATGTAAAACGCCTTTAAAAGACTAAAATAGACTGAATTATCAGTCATGTATTTCAATGTGTAAAAACGTAAAAACTGCAAAAAGACTTACTTATTGAACAATAAAATAAGATGGCTGAAATGTAGGCATAAACATAAGTAATAAGTAAACATCGCATTCAGCTGATTTAAGTGAAAACAGAACAATATAATAAGTAGGGAAGACATGCCTTAAATATACAATGTAGATAATATAATTAGAAATTAGTAGCCTACTTTTGGACAGGCCTGGACAATTATCCATACCGTGGTTAAAAGTGTACTTCTATAAGCCCAGGTTTACTTATTACGGTTGTAACTGGACGTATGTATAGTCCGTGGCTTTGGCAATCAAATAACAGTATTTATATAGGATAGGCTACTGTTATCAACATTTGAAATGACTGAATTGTTACCAAATTACTGATTCACAAAATTAATGCAGATTCCATTTTCAGCCGAGCCATTTAAATGAGGATTTGCCGAACAATTATTAATATTACAGAATAGTATATAATGATATACAACTTTTCACATTCCATAAATTATATGTTAGTTTTGCTATGGTCAAAGGTCCAAATCCAAATGTTCTCTTTTCTTTTGGTCAGTATGTAATAATTTGCTAGAATCATTGACTTCATATAAAGTCAAAGCTAGAATACTGTAGATAGTGTGTTAAGTTAAGACCATATGCAAGCATTTTTGAAATCGTTTCCCCGTTTAACCTTAACCAACTATTCCATTCAAAAAGATAAAAATTATATGGTGCAACACAAATAAACAACCCGATCACCTACCTATAACCATAGACTAACCGTTTTATCTATGCTATAACCTACACTTTACCTTCCTAATCTAACCTTACTTCAAAACACTTCACGAATACTCATAAACCCCGACCTACCTCCCCACATGCCTAAATTAGATCAGTGTTCAATCTGCGTTTTATCAATAAGTGTAATAACTTACTGTACCGTCGATGTAATTCAACATAATATAACCTATGAGGTATTATCGGATTAAATACCGATTTCGATGCGGTTCGATATATCGCTTATTAAATCCTGATTTCTAACATTGGCTGTTTCTAATCAGCTGGCAACACAAATAGGTTCCCAAGAAAGTAGTCACCGGTCCGTATCCCTCCGCTCCTTGTTTATGCTCCGCGCATTGAGAAAGTAGTTCCGTATATTTTCTCGATTTTCAGTGAATTCCGCGCCTTAAAAAAAATGTTTTAACGGTATTTTCTTGTTTATTAAAATCATAGGAATGGTTTAAAAACGTTTAAAAGAAAAGTATAGAAAGTTCAGAAATACCTTATGATTCTCTTGTTTACATTTTTCTTGTAAACAAAAAAACTGTCATAGCTACTTTAGTCCCATAAGCCTAATGTTAAAAATTTGAAATTTTAAGTTCGTTTTAAATTGCATTAGCATTATCTAATTGAAATTTGTTTGTTTACAAACCATCTCATTATTAGTCTAAGTAGTCTTGTTAAGTTTGGCTGAAATGTGTTCAGCCGTTATTGAGTGATGGTGTTATATTATTTGCATTGAAGTTGATCCCAAAGAGCTTCGCTCGCTTCGCTCGCTCCGCTCAATAATTGATAATTGATAATTGATACACATGTTCGATTCGGTTTGTTTGGTGTGAACAAGTCGAACTGACAAGGCAATTTGAGCCTGTAAAATATGCAAAAGTTTGTTCAAACTACAGTATGTGAGGTCAGGCCAGAAATGTGATAGTAGTGGAAGTGTCAGTTCAGTTCCTCAAATCAGATGTTCTGACAATTCTAACTGTCAAGCCGAACTGATATGTGCCAATTTCAGCATCTGTAACAGGCTTTAATATTAAAAATAAGGAAGTTTAAACTAACTTGATAGGAAAATTCATGTTATTCCTTGTGACTAGGGAGTAATTTTTTGGGTAGGTACTGGACTACTTTACCCATAAATTGCTTGTGTCAGAACAGTAGTTACCGGTACCTAACTTACAACATTGTACTTATTTTTTTTCCTTTTCTGATGATTAATCATATAAAAGTTTGTTAAATATACGTAATGTTTCTTTCATAACTCAGTTATTGCTTACCAATTCCTGTAAATAAATACCATAACTGACATCATATAACAGGTTTCTTTATTGTAGTTTTACATTCAATATTAATTTCATCTCTTTTATAAGAGTTATTATTATAACTCGAACAAATTCAGTTGACACATTTGGTAATAGACATTTAGTACTCACATAATCGTCAGCAAGATGCAAAGCCTGCTTGAGACTTCGCTCAGTCTGATTGGCTGATATGAAGTAGGCCAGAAGCGAAGCTTGAAACACACTTGAGGGAGAGATTATCAGGTTACCATCTGGCAGTAGGGAGGCTGCAGACCGCAGCAAGTCTGCAGAAAACTGCAGTTCACTCTGCAGTAAAGACTGATGTGCTGTGTCACTCAGCTTGCGTATCTGAAATAATATTGAGATTATAATCATAATTAAGATTCATATTTATACATGCAGGATCTAGAACAACGAGGTATGACTGCAGAAAACTGCTGCTCACCGTGCAACAAAGACTGGTGTGGGGTGTTAAGCTTAAAACATATTCTGGAAAAGTGATTAAATCATTAGTCAGTAAGTATCTGCAGGTAGGCATGAGGCCAGTCTGCAAAAACCTCAGAGCAGACTGTCGTTGCAGTAGTGAGTGAAATAGTAAACTGTGCTGCATCACTCCAGATAGTCAGTACATATTGAGGGTAAATTTTGACTTTAAGGCATAGAACAATTAGGAGGCATGGCACACCCTTATTCTATGATTGAGGTCAAAAGTTTAAACAAAGGTCAGATTCTTACTACTGTAATTATAGGATAGGAACCCAAGAAAAACTGCTGTTTAATCTGCAAGTGAATACTGATGTGCTTCATTATTCCTAAATATGTGCTAAAGGTAAATAAATACAAAGTAGTTCTTGATGGTCTTATGGTAGACTCAATGAAAGTTCAATCAATAAGGCCTTGGTTTAAAAGTCCCGCTAACACATAGGCCTCCAAATAACAAATATTGAAAATCATGAGAATTGAAAATACCTCATCCTTGGCAGTCAGACACTGTTGAAAACTGAGAGGAAGCAGTGATGCCAACACAAACAGCAACAACATCTTGACAAAGCAAATACACAATCTGAAAATTACATAAAATATATCACTGTTGGTTTCATAATCTAGTCTTCTAACTTTTAGTAACAATAGCTAGTTAAAAGTTATTTAAAATCATATTTAAAATTTTGTGCAAACGTTTTGTATTAGGTATAGCTTCATAGGAAATCAATACGGTTTTTCCAAAATGGATATGTCCCTTCCCAACTAAAACTTACTTAGTTGAAAATGCTTTGAATTAATGAAATACACAGTCAACGACAACATGTTTTATTTCAAAAGGATTAATTATTTACTCTTGTGCAATGAAAAAGAATAAGAATATTACTTACACGACTCTCAATTCGATACAACTTCCTTACCACACACTCCTATACAATGAATAAACATCAAGGCAAACTCAACTTCATTCTAAGAGACATCAAAAGTTTATGACAGGTAAAACAAAAGCAAGCATTCCTGTACACTCATTGTAATACTAATGAGTGTAGATTTAATGCTGTTGTTCATTGAATCATAAAAGTAATTACATTTCCAATGCTGAGCTTATGTTTGATTGTCAAAAGATGTTTTTTCTTTCCCTCCCCCTTTTACATAGTAGGCCTATATGGAGAATGTATTATTTTTGTTAAAAACGTCGAGTTTGAGTTTTGGGTGGATATACAAGTTTTGGGTCCCCCTGAACAAAAAAAAATTGTTTTGAAGTGATGTCTGTGTGTGTCTGTTAGGATGTGTATGATAAAATTTTAGATTATTATGAAATGGGCCCCTGATGGCATTTTTTATCCTTTATTTAACTATTATTATTTTATGGTGTTTTTCCAATAACCTATAAAATAAAATATCATACTGTATAAAAACAATGCTATCACAAACAGCCAAAATTATTTTGATTACAATTTAGTCTGTTGTAGTCCTTTTAATTCCATTACTGTAAAAAAATGCGTCAAACATTATTTGAACTTATATGATTTCCCCATTTATAAAAACCCATAAAATAACCAAAATTTGATTTAAATAAAAGTTCAACCGATTTTAATAAATTTTAATACTTTATGGTTCTTACAATTCTTAACAGAATGGTACAGTCCCCTTTGCTGTAGCAATAACAGTTTAAAAGTTATTGCAAATTTTATGATTGCACCCATATTATACCACATTTTCTCCTACTCTTGCCATGATAAGGGTTGTTGGAAAACTAAGTATGTGTCAGATTGCTAATAGCATACTGTAATCAAACATTCTTCTTCAGAACGTAATTAGGCCTACAGTATTTTTCTTCCATTCAACTTATTTTGTCTTGGAAAGTATATTCATACACGTTGCATTTGTAAAAGTAATAAATAATTTAAATTACAAAATAAAATTCTACTTTGGATGCAAACAATATAAAAATTGCACAATATACAAAATACAATATATAAAATTGTACTAGGCATGTCACTTTCCTGTACATTCAATATTAACAGGCAACTAGGCTAAGTTAGATTTTTACCAATAAACACTTTTTATATGTGAGGAAACAGTTACATAGTTCGATAGTTGGATAGTTCTGGAAAAATATTTTTGCTGTAATCGTAGTAGAGCCGATACGGTACTACAATTTGAAAACTTCTGAATTAACTATTACTTGGTTAAGCCTGTAAAACACAAATTAACGAAATGGAAATCTGTTTTCTTGTATAGCTAAACCTTCAAAATATAATATTATTAAACCATTTTGTAAGTTTGTAGCATAGTTGAGTTGTAACATTAAAACACCAGTGAAATGACATACCTCTCGTGGAAATTCTGACTGCGCTGTAAACAAAACTGGTCAAAGGTCCATCCACAGCTACCGCGATAACGCCACTGCTTCTAATCTGTGTTTTGCCGCTGCCTTCTGTAATCTGTAGTGGGTCGCGGCCTTCTAGATATTCCTCTGTCTATAAACGCCGCATTGCTGTCAGCTGTTTTGTGATATAAGATGGTCATCGTTGAAAACATCCAATGAATTTGATCCCATCAATCAATCTATATCGCATGAGTCACTGGGACTTCTTTAGATTAATTAGTGAATCATGGTTATTAATAATATTATAATTTCATAAGTAAACTACGATTTTTAGTTCTCTTCTATATAATTGTATGGTATTAGTTAAGTAAATTCGGAACGTGTCAGTGTTATAAATAAAGAAGATAATAGAATAAGAAGAAGGTAGTTATAAATAAAATAAAATATCAGTCAGTGCAATAATAAATTCTTACAAGTCTACTTTATTCATAACGTATAATACATACCATAAGACAAGCCAATTTCTGTACAGTGGTCTTATTTACGTTTTCAGGATAAAAAATGTATGTAACTACTTCCACACATATATAGCCTACTTGCTTGAAAATCATCCGTAAATCAATAAAAAAATTGTTTCAAGTGTCATTGTACTCTTTGTTTATGCGGTCTATTTTCACAGAATCATTTATGTTGTGAAGTAGGCCTAATATCTTCATCTTCAGCTTGTAAAACAGTAAAGCACAGAAAATAATTGTAAAACTCACCCTAACTAAAACAGAGAAAACTAAACCTGTTTCGAAACGCATTAAAACCGGCTTCAGAATTTTGCATCGAGAAGTGAGCTTCAAAGTCAATGATAACAGGAAGACCGGAAGCAAGAAGTGCGAGTGCGATGATTTCAAATTAGGGTATTATTATAATGCGATCTATTGATATTGAAGTGTCAGTAATGAATAAACAAACACCAGCTGAGAGGGTAGATAACAGGCCACGTGACCTCCCCCCACATCAATTAGTCAGCTGACAGTTCCATTGTTGGTGTTTACATTCAACAGCTGATCTTCTGTGGGAAACTATCTTGCTCGAATTCATTAAAAGCTCGTCAGCTTCGATGCATTGTTAGTTGAGGCGATATTTTGACTGGCGCAGTACGTTCTCTTTAACCTCGGGACCTCGTTAACTGAAGCCCGCGCTATATCTCTAGTTTATAACTCGCTCCCAATTTATCTATAGTTCTATAGTAAATATAGTATATGTAATTCCTAGTCAATTAATTACAAGGTCTAAAACCATAGGCCTACAGAAAGATAATAAAGATATATATGTTACAGTTTTGTTAATACTTGCTTATTGTTAGTCAACCAACTTGTAAACTATTTTAACCAAATATAACAATCTATTTATAAACTATTGGTTGTCCTCTGACATTAGTCTATATCCACCGAAAAACGAAATAATTGTAAAACGCTCACTCAAATAAAAAAAATTGATTCGACACTAGTGCACTCACGCGTTACCTACATCAAACCAGTTTTTAGATGTTAACATTAACTGATCTAGTATACTTGCACTATTTAATCAAAGTTAAATGTCAATGATATAAAGTTACTGTGCATTGAGCCTCTGGTGGCTCATTGTACAACTACAGCCTCATAGTTCCAACAAACTCCGCCAGGTGTATAAGACTGCGGGAACAAAATAACAAATTTTTGAAATCGTTATTTTAACCAAGACTAAATCACAATTTTACGTATTATTTTATTATCATTTCAGAGCGATTTTTTCAGTTTTTTGTAGTCTCCCGCCTATTATGGGATTAATCATTCATCATTCATGCCAGTCAGCATGTGTTTGTTACGTTACCATACCACAGTCCATTGGTCCATTACTACCGACCTGCTGCTTATTCAAGAAGGTTGTAGGACCTTTCCCAGGTTCTCCTGGCCAAGGGTCGGTCGTAAAACAAGAAAAGACCCTCTCGGCGATGGCTATAAAAAAGGGTCCCAACTGGATACTGTACTGTGTATATTGATTTTTATAAAGAAGTCGACAGAGTGTATCACAACATTTTCATCTATAACTGTTGAAGAGGGGTATGGATTCCTTAACCCATTGGTCGGTTGGATTCATGACTACCTGACCGAGCGTATATCAAGATTGGCTCCGTTGTATCAAGGTGTCATTAGACGTTTGGGGTTCCACAAGGTTCACATCTGGAGCCGTATCTTTTCTATGTTTTCATCAATGATCTTCTTACCAAGGTGGACGTTAGGTTGGTACCCTTATGTTCACCGACGACCTAAAGCTTTTTTGAGAGTTGTCTTCAGCCAATAGCGCTGCACAACTTCAGATGAACCTGTATAAGGTTATGGCATGTTGTGAGGGCAATGATGGAGATAAATCCTAGTAAATGCTCAGCTATAACTTACCAGCGCTCTCTTGATCCTCTCATCTTTTGTATTTTTGGACGCGAAGACCAAGTTCTAAGAAGCTTAACTATCAGATATCTAGGCGTTCGTTTCTAACACGAATTTTGGTTTGGTGATCATGTGGATCATGTGGAAAGGAAACAAAATGCTAGGATTTGTCGCACATTTCTTGCGAGTTATCCGCTGTCCCCAGGCTTTGAAGTCTCTGTAAAATTTGTTATTTAGTCTTTCGAACAAGATCCGGCCCCAAATTAGTTCGGATTGGATACTCATGTACATTTAACCACAGACTAGGTATATTGTCTATGGTTTAACCTACATTATGAAATCGAATCAGAATCCAATTTTGACAAATTGTATTTCTCCAGCCCCATACCACTGATTCTATCACACATTATCAGTTCCATGGTGACGCCAGGGGTGTGTGAAGTCACCCTTCGAGCGGCTTACTACCCTCGCTCGCACGCGCCTTCATATCCACGTGTTCGCACTTGCGTGGGATTTGGCGCAATTTGCGGCTCGCTTCCCGCGCAATCGCCCCTCTTCCCGCCATAATAGAAAAGTCATCCATTTAAGGAAACATATTGGTTTTATCGCGCCACTAAATCGTTATTGCTTTTGGTTGAAATTGACTAATGTTGGGAAGGGGAATGAGTTTTTTACTGCGTTGTGTCAACTAGTTGGAACGGTTTTCACTATTTTTATTTCGAGTGTTGAACTAAGTGGTAGAATTGTTTACCTTATAAGGGGTTCCAAATACTAGTCCCGAACTATTTAAAATCAACATTTTGTTATATAGCATTATTTATTGACATCCCGATAATAAATTACATTTGAGTCAATAATTGACCCCGCTTAGAATCAAGCCAGCAACTTGCAGATTTGAAGGCGAGCACTATAAACTCTCGGTTACCCAGAATAGTTATACAGAGCTTGCTAGATAAAGTTGTAGGTTACACAGAGTGTTATCGTAATACCATTGACTATTGGATACGGACCAGCTGTAGCCAATTTTTTATTAAAAATTAAGTAGTTGTGTGTAAGCCAGTCACAAAATGCGCTAGTGTCTAAAATTATGTTTCATACATTTTTTTGCTGACAAGGCTGATGGGTCATAACAGTTTCTATAACTACACTAGTTGCTAACTAGTGTACTCCACTAACTAGTGTTAATGGTAACTAGTGTTACCAAGAGTACATGGTAGTCCTATTAAATTGCGTATCTGAATGTAGAAAAAAAACTTATTACTCGTTATTTTTAATCCGATTTTAACAAACAAGGTCTCATTTGATTTGTATTAAAATTCTCTATCCTTTTAGTAAGGTAAAACATTTTCTTAATATTTACGGTTTTCATGAAATTTGGCATTACAGATTTTAAATGGCCGCCATATTGAAACGACTTGAGATATTGGAACGAAACTTTCAGAGTTCTTTTTACTATATGAACTACACATTCATACCAAATTTTAAATCTCTATCTTGGAAAATGCTCAAGATATTAAATAATTTATACATATCACAAACAGACCGACAGACAGAAATCTAGGTACTTTAGACCCATACCGTACTTGTATGGTGTTTTATGTTTGTCTTAGCCCAGGGAATAAGCCCACAAAATATGTCCAGACAATTCGGAAACACCCTGTATAATAGGATGGCTTGAATGTCGAAATACGTTTCATAGAACATAACTTTTGCTCATTTCGTTCCATAGAATATACCGCCATAAACCCTATGAGACCAGCTGTTTGGCTATGAGACCCAGAGGATGGACACTGAAAGCTAAAGGTTTGCATTCATTGGCTAAAGTCACTATTAGTGTGACTATTTGAGTATTACATATTGTGTGTTCATATGTATTTCATTTGTTTACTGTTCGAGGAGGCTATGACACTAATTTTTCTTTGCCATTTGTTTGTATAGTTGAAATGCACTGCTTTTCCTGTTTAATGATCTAATTGTTAGAATAAATTGGCTTGTATTGCTATGTTTTAGCATAGTGCCACTTTTGGTACTAGTAGTATAACTTGTGAAGCGAAAAGTATCCAAGTTAATATCCTGAAGAAACAAAGCAGAACACAAATCATCCCTTCTTAAAACTAATATGTGATGTTATTATACCAAAGTAAATAGGGAAAGTCAAGTTTAATAGACATTATCACAATAAATGAACAGCTAATTAGGAATTTCCCTGTAGCTTGAATTCTAAGTATTAAACCAATTAAAGAAACGGACGAAAACAGAATTAAGGTTTTACAATGGAAAAGATGCCCTTTTCCTGAATCTCCGTGAAGGATTAAGAGACTTAAGTCTTACAATTGAAATTAACACAGAGGTCGTCGAGACCCCCCCCCCTACATTAAACGTTTATCCCCCCCCCTTATTATTGCCCCCCTTCAGCTCTCCCATTCCCACCCCTTGAGTGTTGAACGCTGATAAGAGTTAACAATTCCCACCCGCGTCAACCACCCCAAATAAACACCCAACGACAAGATACCTTCAACATTTTGTACGAAACATTCCTGGCTACTATAGTTGATTATTAGTAAAAATTTTAGCCTACTTAATTGACATATGTAATTCTACTCTAATTCCTAGTTCGATATAATGCGTTTGTTAATCGTGGAAAAACGTGTTCTTATGGAGTCCCACAAGGGTCTATTATGGGTCCCTTCCTTATTGTAATCTCGATTAATGACTTGTATCACAG